AAAAAAAAAAAAAAAAGTCAAGAGCTGGGTGCCCTGTGTCCCCTTCGGGCAGATGAAGCATAAAGCACCCACGTGAGGGTGCACCTCTTTTCAGGGGAGCCCTCCCCATCCTGAGACTAGTCAGTGCGTGGGCTTCCATGTGCTGTATCCCCACGTCAGCTTCTCCCCAGTCTCCTGACCTCTGCCTGCTCTTCGCAGCTCCTCAAGTTCATCCCAGAGAAGAGTGACATTGACCTCCTGGAGGAGCACAAGCATGAGATCGAGCGGATGGCCCGGGCGGACCGCTTCCTCTATGAGATGAGCAGGTCAGGGCAGCAGGCCTGGCGCGGAGCGGGCAGGGGCAGGCAGGCTATGGAGGGGGCAGGGGACGGGGCGACCTCACGATGCAGCTCGCCCTGTCTGCAGGATCGACCACTACCAGCAGCGGCTGCAGGCTCTCTTCTTCAAGAAGAAGTTCCAGGAGCGGCTGGCTGAGGCTAAGCCCAAAGTGGAAGGTAGGGCTGAGTGAGGGCCGTGGGGAGGAGGCCCAGGGTGGGGCGGCATTTGGGGAGGGAGTGGGAGTGGATGGGAGCAGAGGAAGTTTTCTTCCTTATTCCTGATTACCTCCCCCTGCCCAAGACCAAAGTCAAGGACAGAATGTAAGTGGATGATTTTTGTAGGTGTGTGCCCTTGTTGATATTAGCACGTGTACAGGCTCTCCAAGGCAGGGATCTGTTGACATCTGTCTGGCAGGGGACGGAGATGCTGGAATAGTGATAGTAGTAAGCACCCAAAACATTTCTCGGCATGTATTGAACTCACTGGTCTTTACCTTGCTTGACGGGGCCTAAGCTCACGGAAGACCTCTGGGCACACTATTTTATGAGTGGGCTCCTGAGAAAGTAGGAAATTGGGCAAGGTGATCCCCAGAGGCATCTGATTTTCTGGGTTGGGGAACCCCTCCTACACAGGCCTTTTTCGGATGAGAACTTTGTAATTAAATGAGACCCATGTGCCAAGCACGCTGTCACACAGTCCACGCGGATGGTCTCATTTGGTCCTCAGAACCCTGTGGGGGCCGTTCTCTCATCTCGATGATGGGGATATGTTAGCTGCCTGAGGCCATGCTACTGGTAGGTGGTAGAACTGGAATGCAGATGTTACTCTTCAAAATCCATCCTTCACTCTTGTCCTGTAGTGCTTCCCAGAGGGCATGTCCCTGGACCTGCCTGTGGAGATGGCAGAGGATGCAGGCAGGGAATTGGGGGAAAGGCAGGTGGTCAGGAGGGTAGGCAGCCATGAGGGAGGACCCAGGAGGGGGAGAAGCAGGAGAGGCTGTGAGGTTCATTTGTGGCAAGAACAGGATCAGAAGAGTAGAACAGGAGAGCCTGTGTCCAGGTTGCTGGGGGGACAGGCTAAGGGCAGAGCAGAGCATGGGCCCCCTCTGCTGGACACCCAGCCAGCCAGCTGGACACCCACTCCCTGGGATGCCCAGTCCCGAGAATGGTCCTTCCTGGAGTTTGACGAGCTGCTTTGGGAGGATTCTGGGGGTAGGGCAGGGCACGACAGAGCTAGAGGCAGACATTCTCTGTAATCTGGGTACACATACACGTGCACGGACACAGGCAACTGCAGGTGTGTGATCATAGATAATGCGCCTGAGGGAGGAGGAAAGACTTGAGCAGTGACTCTGCAGGTCTCAGGTCTGATGGCACCTCTGCCCTGGTGATGGGCGAATCCTTACTTTCGCACAACTTTCTTTGTCCTGCTGCCGACTGCCTTGGGGCACGAGGCATGGATAAAGGGGTTCAGCCCAAGACACATACTCAAGATTTTTGTGTCTTGGGTCAGTAGATGCTCAGGAAGGAGCCTCCCTTTAATCTCGAGCTCAGCAGAGTGAGACAGGTTCGGGATGGCATAACCTTCTGAGGAAAGGAACAGTCGCTCTGCTGTAGCAATGGCCGCTGTTCTCCAATGGTCTGGAGGGCTCTTCCCTCCAGGAGTTGGAAGGAAGTTGTATTTTACAGAATCAGGTCAGGGGGCTTGACTAGGGGTGGAGGCATGAGGATTGCGTGGGATTTAGGGTTCATGTTCCTCCTTCTGGGTCTCCCAGGAAACGCTCCGGGAAGAGCTAAGCTTTGGCTTATCCCAGCTGGTGGTAGAGCTCTGGACACCAGCCCCCACCACCCCTCTGTCCCCAGGCAGGGCCTCTGGGTTAATCTGCCGAAAGCCAGTTCATCAAATCTGACAAATTTACCAATTGTCCTATGAATATATTCTTCTCATGAATGTGTTCATCGTTGAATATACCAAATTTACCAGTTCTCATTATGAATACGTTCACTGAGTATTGAGATGACTGTGGCTTCCAATGTAAACATATTCCTTTGAATATATTCATGAAGATATCATTCTGATGAATATATCTAGTATGTCTGCACTGCCTATGGGGTTTTTCCCATTTACACTGATTTCCTCTGAACTCCTGTCATTTCCTGTTTTGCCAACATTTTAGCATTTTCAGGATTCCTTTGCAAATTTTTCGAATAGCAGATCAACCTTAGAAAAACTATCCCAAGCAATATACATTTGTAAGTAGTTTACTTTAAAAAGTTTTGTTATTGAAATATGCATATAGAAAAGTACACAAACCCTAAGGGCCCTACTTCATGAACTGTCATGAAGCGAGCACACCTATACAACCAGCACCCAGCTCGAGAGATGGAATGTTTCCGGTCCCCTGAAGCCCTTCTCCATGTCCCCCTCTCAGATATTTTGCCCTTCAACCACTACTTCCTCTCTAAAGTTTTTGTCTGTCTGTAACTTTCTATAAATGGAATAATATAGTACGAATACCTTTATGCCCGTCTTTTGTGCAGCACGATGGTTGTAAGTTACCCCATGGTTACAGGTAGCAGTGGGGTATTTATTTTCAGTGCTGCATTTTATTCCATTATATGAATATACCATACTTAACTAGTCCATTTGCAATTTAAAAAAAAAGCAAACTAGAAACCCTTCAAAAACCCAAGAGTAATGCAGCCGTTAGGTCTTAGAATATGCATATGTTCACTTTTAAAAGCTACTGACAAGCCTTATTTACTTTTTACAGCTTATTTTTTAGTAATTACTTATTTTAATTGCTTTTGAATATTTTTGTGAACGTTTAGTTAACTAGTTCTCATTTTCTCTTTATAGCAGCCTCTTAAGGAATGTTCACTTAGGCATAAGCCAAAGATCATAATACGATGGTTTGGTCTCCTTATCACATTTAATAATCAATCAAGTCATAGTTCATAACTAGAGCCAGTTTTTCCGTGTAGGGTTTGTATCCCAATTGTGCACATCCACCATAAATGCGTAAAGGTGGGGAAGGACCAGAGCACTCATATCAGAATGAAATGCTGACGCTGTGGCTGCTGTGAGCCTTAGTATTTCCAACAAAGGTATCATTTAAGGCATTGTTGTGGGGAGGTAGTTTTTAAATGCCTGAAGGTTGGGAAAAAAGTTTAAATGATATTCAACAGGCTGTCAAGTATCCTATTTAATCAAATCTAAGTAAGAAACCAACTGTAAAGAACACCATCATATTACAGAACAAAAAATAAAAACATTGCAATTGATGGTATGTTTTAATTGACAGAATTTTTTTCCTAATTCATTGGACAAACTATTCTTAAATGTTTCAATCATTCAAGAGGTAAAATGATATTACATCAATTTTCTATTTTCATTCCTAATTATATTTTTCTTTTTATTCTTTACCTGATTCTTTTTGAAAAACAATTTTAAAAAAATTTTATTAAACTGTAGTTGACTTACAATATTAGTTTCACATGTATAGCAAAGTGATTCAGTTATACATATACTTTTTTTTCAGATTTTTTCATTATATGTTGTTATAAGAAATTAAAATAGGTAAACAACAGGGACCTACTGTATATAGCCCAGGGAACTATATTTATATATATATAGTAATGTGTATCTGTTAATCCCAAACTCTTCATTTTTTTCTTTCCAAGAAAATCAGTAAACTCAGCACCTCAAAAGAGGCAGAAACAGTCCCATAGTATAAGTAAAATGCTGAAATTTAAATTTTTAATCACTAGGTTTAAAAAAGTAAAAAGTTGTATATTCTTGCATCTATGCAAGGAAAGATACATTCTCAAATACAGTCTTAGGAAGAGTTGGCACATGTTGAGAAAGGGCTATTTGGTGAAATGGCTTTAGGTGAGTCTGTCTGCTTCCTCTGGAGGCAGGCCGTATGGGGGGGATCCTCTGCTGGGACACAGGGAAGGGGGGAGTATCTGCCCCTCGGAAGCAGAAGACACTTGACCACCCCTTTCCTGGACTTTGTGGTGGCCTCAGCCTTGGGTTCAAGGGCCCAGTGTTTGCAGGGCTCTCACCTGTCCCACCTCCCCCAGCCATCCTGCTGGCCTCCCGGGAGCTGATCCGCAGCAAGCGCCTAAGGCAGATGCTAGAGGTCGTCCTGGCCATCGGCAACTTCATGAACAAAGGGCAGCGTGGGGGCGCCTACGGGTTCCGGGTGGCCAGCCTCAACAAGATCGCCGACACCAAGTCTAGCATTGACAGGTGGGACCTGGCCTGCTTCCGTAGCCCCCAGCTCACCCTGCCCTAGCCTTCCCCCTCCTCCGCGCTCCTCCATTTCCAATCCAGAATTTGTCACCTTTCCCTAACACCTCACCCCAGTTTCCCCCTGACCCTCCTTCTCAGTTTCCTTGGCCCTGTACTAACCCTGACCTGACTTTCACCCACAGAAATATCTCTCTGCTCCACTACCTGATTATGATCCTGGAGAAGCATTTCCCTGACATCCTGAACATGCCCTCGGAGCTGCAGCATCTTCCAGACGCCGCCAAAGTCAAGTGAGGGTCCCTCTGAGGCTTCCTTCTCCCTGAGCTCACGCACACTCTCATTTCCTCCTTCAGGGCTACTCTGGGCTGACTAGGAATGAACAGTGTGGCTCAGGATTTGTTCTGGGAGAACCGAACAGACACTGTTTGCTCTCAAATCCTCATTTCAGAGATTCTCCCAGGAAACTCCAGCAGGAATGGGGAGGTGACCAGGGGTAGGACGAACGCCCAAGGGGAGCACTGTTAAGCCAATTCCCACTGCAGGCAGTCAGAGCTTAATCTCTCCAGGGGTGTCGGGGCAATCGTGGAGGACACTCACTCCACTTGTCCACCTCCCTTGCCCCTTGGGATATCACACACCATCTCCTGTCAGTCTAGGGTCGGGGAACTTAACTCTGGCCATGCGTACAGACAGAGGGGGCTCTGGCCCCCAGAAAAAAGTGGTTAGAAGTCAGGGCTGTGCCCCGCAGTGGATGGTCCAAGGAGATATGGGCAGAGCACCAATGACATTGCTACAGACAAGAAGTCAGATCTGAACATACTTAGGCTGATAGAAGCATCTCCAATAGAAGCAGGGACGCAGACGTAAATGGCTAACACATTAAATGCTTACTGCACCCAAGGTACCATGTTGAGAGCATATAAGCATTACCTGAGGGTAATAAAAAATAACACAAGCCAGAGGCCATGGGTTAGAAACCTTCTAGTATACGGCATGACATTTCTGATCTGGAAGGATCTAGAGAACGTAAGTTTCACCTGTTATTTTAAAGAAGCACCACCAGATCACAGAAGGAAAGTGACATGCCAGGGCCACATGCTAATGGCCAAAGCAGGGCTGGAACCCAAGTCCACTGGCACCCAAGGCCACTGGGGTTTGCACTGCCCTGAACTACCCCCAGCTCCTCTCCCTCTGTGTCCCCCCACAGCCTGGCAGAGCTGGAGAAGGAAGTGGGCAACCTCAGGAGGGGCCTCAGAGCGGTCGAGGTGGTGAGTTCATCGTCTGTATCTGCCTGGGTTAGAGGGGGTGGTGCTGCCTGTCACTGGGTCAGAGGGTGGACCCCCAGATGCAGATGCCCCTGGCTGGGGTGACGGAACAGCTGGCACAGTCAGTACAGCCTCTAGCAGTCAGCTCTGAGGAAAGGATAACTGGATTATTCAAGGCTTAAATTTAGACTCTTGCAGAGGGGACATCCATTTTAGACTGTAGACATGTCACTGTATTGGGGTAGAATGAATGATAAATGGTCCATATGCTTAAGTTTGATTCAAATGGATGGGAAAGAGGATCAAGGTTGAGTATGAGAAAGAACCTTCTGTTGCCAGGGGGGCAGTGGTGGGAGGATGATTTCTAGTTTATAGCCTTTTAAAAGCACTACCCAAAATGTGGTCCATGGACCAGAAGCATCACATCAACCGGGAGAATTAGAACTGCATCTCACTCTTTAATCTGCACACATCACCTGAGAGTCTTCTTAAAATGGGGCTTCTAATTCCAGGTGGGGCCTGAGCGTCTGGATTTCTTAAAACTTCCCAGATGCTGCTGCTTCCGGTCACAGACCACACTTTGGGTAGCAAGGATCTAACGGAAGATGGCAGTGGGGGCAAGGGAAGGCTAGAGCCCGGCAGACTGGTTGATAACGCTCACCATCTTTGCCACTCCTAGAAGTTGAGATCAGGGTGTTCCCTCTCCCAAAGGAAGGCTCAGTGTCCTGTGGCTGGCAAGAAGGGTCGGGGAGGTGGTGACCCTCGGAATTCCTGACTCTTGTCTGGCTCTGGTCTGACCAGCACCTGTTTCTCCCTCCTCAGGAGCTGGAATATCAGAAGCGGCAGGTGCGAGACCCGAACGACAAGTTTGTCCCAGTCATGAGTGACTTCATCACGGTCTCCAGCTTCAGCTTCTCAGAGCTGGAGGACCAGCTCAACGAAGCCAGGGCCAAGGTGAGGGCCCCCCCAAGACCCCACCCCCCTCCAACTTCACCAATCCCACCACAGATGGCCCCGAGGCACACAGCCTTGAGGAGAAATGGGTTCCTCACTCGTACAACCAAAGCAATGGCAACTCTGTTGCAAAGGTCATGGTCCATTGATCATGTGTCAGGTACCAGGTTAAGTGTTTTCCATGTTCTGTCTCTCCACCTACCTTACATTCTACAGATGTGTGCACTGAGGTCCAGAGAGGTTAAATAACTTGCCCCAGGTTGCCCAGCAGTCTTAGCCCAACCTGTATTAGAATCCTAACTGCAGCCCAGCTTCAGTCTCAGTTGCTCTGCCTCTTCTGCTGCTCATGCTGGCGTGCCCCTGGACCTCAGCTGTGGGAGTCTTAGTAAGAAGGGGGTTCTCATTCAGGAGGGCTGGGGCCTGAGATTCAGCCTCTCTAACCAGCTCCCAGGAGACACCCACGCTTCTGGTCCATGGAGCACATTTTAGTGAGGGCTCCCTTAGAGGATTTTGAATGGGTTGAATTAGAGATGGTACCTCTCAGTAAGAGCCTGGCACGTAGCTTGTACTCTACATCTCACGATGCTATGAAGTAGGTTATCATTCCCATTTTACAGATGAGAAAACGGAGGCACAAAGGGGTTAAATAACAAGCCCAATAACTAGATGGTCTGATGTCCTTTTGAGTTCTGACCAGGCAGTTCTTGACCTTAGGAAGTGCTTCTCAGGTCTGTAGCTCCTGATCCCAGGCCTACACTGTAACACTCAGAGGCAGCTCTGGGCAGCCTGTCTCTAGGAACTTAAGACCCTTCTCATCTTTACTGGGGGGTGGGGGTGGGGATGGGCAGGGGAAGGAGGGGCAGGTAAGGGGATAATGGATCCCCCACCTTCCCAGGTGTCTGCCTCCAGTCTTTCCTTCAGCCTTGTCCTGACCCCGATGACAGTGGGGTGTCCCTCTCTCTAGCCCTGCATCCCCAAGCCCAAGGTCCCCCACCTTGGATAAGCTCTGCTCTGGCTGTGCTCAAGGGGGAGGGGCTCTCCACCAACCCTTCTCTCCGACAGTTCTCCAAGGCCCTGATGCACTTTGGGGAGCACGACAGCAAGATGCAGCCAGATGAATTCTTCGGCATCTTTGACACCTTCCTGCAGGCCTTCTCGGAGGCCCGGCAGGATCTGGAAGCCATGAGGAAGAGGAGGGAGGAGGAGGAGCGGAGGGCGCGCATGGAGGCTATGGTGAGACGGTGCTGCTGGGAGCTGGGGCACGAACTGCTATCTTGGAGAGAGAATGGTCTTCCTGGCCCGAGGGGAGAGTGAGGTGTGGCAGGTTGTTAAACCAAGCCCAGCCCAGGAGTCAGCCGGGTTGGAAGCCATGTGCCCTGTGTCTGGAAAGAGGAGCGGGGGGTGGCTACTCTGGGATGCCCGCCTCATGCTCCCTCCTCCCGCCCTTCAGCTGAAGGAGCAGCGGGAGCGGGAGCGGTGGCAGCGGCAGCGGAAGGTGCACGCGGCGGGCAGCGCACTGGAGGAGGGCGGCGAGTTTGATGACCTGGTGTCGGCCCTGCGCTCGGGTGAAGTTTTCGACAAGGACTTGTGCAAGCTCAAACGCAGCCGCAAGCGATCAGGGAGCCAGGCCCTAGAAGCCACCCGGGAGCGGGCCATCAACAGGCTAAATTATTGACCTGGGGGACTGGCCACAGCGAGAAGCCGGGAGACAGGGATGGGCCCGGAGGGGCTGAGCGGGGGAGGCCGTGGTACTTAAACAGTTTGGTGCTCGGTTTAGAGCCCTGGGCTGGGTCCTGGGGTTGGGGCTGTGTGTGGCAGGACCAGGTGTCTCCCCACCTGAAGGAGCTCCCCCTCATCTCTTCTTCCCATTCCTTCTGCACCCCAGCGCCCAGGGGTCGCCCTCTGAGGCTGACTTGGACACCCTTGGCGAGCCCCAGCTGAAGGGGTCTTGCACCCCAAGCCAAAGCATGGCCATCCATATTCTGGCACAGAAATGCTCCAGATCTAGACTGGAGAGAGGTCTAAGACCTTGTCCAGATTTCCCGTGCCATGGGAGCGATGGGGTGGGCCAAGGCGGGGGCGTCCAGGCTCCCATCTCTCAAGAGTAGGCATAATGGAACATTGATCTGGGACGAAGTTTCCTATTGGATGGAAGGGGCATTATATATTCTAGCTAGATGTGTTCCCGGAGAAAAGAATGCAGGGAGGCTGATGCAGGGACCAAGTCATCAGGACAGAGTGCTTATTTCCTAGGAGGCCTCTGGCCCTCTTGCATGTCTTAAGTCTCTCCCCTCCTTCCCTACTGCCATTTCCATCCATCCTGTCTGCTAATCCAGAATCCTGGAAAACCCACCTTTGGGCTTCCACGACTACGGCACACTCTGGTACTTGATGAATCTGGTAAGGGAAGGGGCTCAAGAAAAAACCCATTCATCGCCACACCTTGTATGTTGGGCATAGGGACCCTGCAACAACACGCTGCTCCCACCCCTACCCTGTACAACCAGTTGTCTTGAAGGGAGACAGTGACCTCAAGCGCTGGCTGGGGGTTCTGAACAGCCCCTCACCAGAGGGCAGCACTTGAATGGCCTGGAGTACCTGGTCTACCACTTACTGTTACTCAGACCTCACACTCCTCTGACATCTGCTTCAGAGCAGAGGGCACAGTGACCTCCTGCTCTGGCCAGCCTACCAGAGACCACTTCAGACCGTGGGTTATCTGGCCCTGGGGTGTCAGTTCCTGAGAGGGTCCCCTGGACCAGACCTGCCCTCTGCAGTTATATGCCACTTCTAAGGGGGTCTCCTGTGAGGCACTAAGACAGGAGGCCCAGAGCAGGGGAGGGGGGAATACACTTTCCAAAGGAGCCAAGAGTGGAATGCTGAAGGGGTTCCAGTCCCCCATCTCTGGTGCCAAATTTGGTTCTTCAACTTGGCTTCCAAGGGGACCATTCTGTCCACCTTGAGCTGTCCTTGTGGGTGGGGGTATAGGATGATGGCTGTAACTAGACAGATGTTCTCTTACAAAAGGAGGTGGTGACGTCAACTCCATCAAGGCTCATATTTTCAGTATATTTCTTCCCCCGTAGAGTTGGCCTTGCATTCTGTAAGGTTTGCCTGATTCCCTGTCTCCCGGCTCCCTGCCCTTCCATCCTCTTCCCCCCGCCCCCCTCCCCCTCCCCCCCGACTGTTCCCTTTGTTTCTCACCTTCTGACCTCCTCCAGCTCAGGGTTATTGGCAGTGGACAGACTGCTGGGCTGGGCCCACTCTTCAGCTGCCTATCTTTTCCCTACACCGGCTTCCTGGGGGTGGGAGCATGGTAGCTGCAGGGGAAGAAACACACGATGGGTGAGCCCAGCATGTGTGTTGGTTCGAGGGGGAGGGCTCGGAGCAAGTGCGAGCCTGGCTGGGACAGGTGGAACCCAGGTGAAGGCAAGGTGAAGGCTTCCAGGAAGGGCAGCTCCAGGGAGTGCTGTTCTCCCCATCTGTACATTCGTCCTGAGAAGCTGGTGTGGGGATGTTGGGAAGGTTGTGGGTAGGGCTTCCTAAGGTCCTCTCCCAAAGCGGCCAGGCTGAGGGCAACCTCACCCGCAGGGGCAGGGAACAGGGGAGGGCTCCATTTCTATCCAACAGGCATGTCCAAACCCCAGCATTTCCACCTGGATGCACACCAGGAAAGAAGAAACCTGGAAGCCGCTCAAGACACGTTGGCTATACAGAAAAGCACAGTCTGGTTTAACTGTTTACAGAGGACACGTGTATTGTTCCAGGGCTCAGGCTTTTCGCCTCTAAAGATTTTACCTTCTCTATTTATTATTTTCTAGCTCTGGCCAGTGGCTCTGACACCAAATGCCACTGCAGCCAGATCTCCAACAGTGCCTTGGACCATGGACCCTCATGGCTGACTCAGCAAGAAGGGCTGGTGCCTTGGAAACAGCTGAGTTGGCCCTTGATCTGCTTAATGTTTACGCCTGTTACCCGTGTTCCCTGGTGCCCTTCCCCACTACCTTTGGGTTAGTTTTTCCAGCTTTTTTTGTCCAATGTAAAATTCAGTTAACCTCATGCAACCTGTTCCCTTCTCAGCAGCAGCGCCCACTCCTCCAGTGTGCTGGAAGTAAGGTGTGTTTAGGGTGGTGGGAGTTAAAAATGCTCTGGGTGGATGGAAAGGGGTCTGGTCCAGGCTCTCCCCACCCCCATCCCAGTTCCACCCCCGGGGGAGCCATGGCCATCTCCCCTCACGTCTACCACCGTCATGCCCCGGCTGTTCTCACCCACTGTTCAGATGACAAACGAAGCTCGTGTACAAAATCCACAGTGCCCTTTCTGCCTGCACCTTTTTTTCGTAAGAATATATTGTAATACTAAAAAATATTAAATCCGTACCACCCCCATCTAGCCTGCCTTGAAACTTACGCCTTCTTCCCACGAGGGGACTTGAGCTGTGCCGGGAAGCAGGAAGAGCCAAGAGTGTTGGTGCGCAAGAGTCCTCAAGCCAGTGCACGTCAAAAGGTAGCTTGAGATCAGCCAACGTGGGAGTACTTAAGACTGGAAAGTGGCTTTTCTAAGAGGTGGTGGTTAAACACTTCGCCAGCACACCCGGGTGTAGGGCACAGGAAGGGTGGGCAGGTCGGGGACTGAGGCTAGAACCGAGAAACCTACCCACCTGAGAGAAGCCAGCAAGTCCAGTGCTGGGGGATGTGCAAGCCAGGAGCCTCTAACTGCAGCTGCTGGTCTCCACCAGCCGGTGAGAGGAGCAGCTTTGGACGTGCCTACCTGTTACTGGTGATGCTGCACTCGTACACCCCCCACGGGGAAGGGTGGGGGTATGTACACGCAGAATATGCCCCTTTGACTCTCCAGCATCTCACCTACTCCTCTTCCCCCAGGTGGGGGTGGGCCTGACATCATAGCAGCTCGGGACCCCTCAGCACAGACAGTCCTCATTCTTGCATCTCCAAAGTTGGCATCGTGGCTTTATTTTGTGCGCGGGGGGTGAAGGCCATCTTCAGTGCTCTTCCTTCCCTGATGTGTCAGGACGAAGGGTGGTGGGTGGGAGGGTGGCAGTGCGCAGGGCATGGGGGTGTGTGCTTGGTCAGGAGGCCTCAGGGCTGTGGCCCACGTGAATGGATTCTGCTTAAGATGGGGGTGGGGCGGCTGGGGTTGCGGAGAGAGAGGAGGTGGCAGGATGGTGTGACTGTTAAACCAAAAGCCCGGATGTCTGACGGGACACAGACTCAGGCAATAAGAAGGGAGAACCGGCTCTTTCAAAGGAGGTTGGTGGAGAGGCAGGGAAAGGGTGTTGCTGCTCAGAAGCCGTGCTCCAGTTTCAGTGCCAGCTGCGCTCCTCAGGGCGGCTTCCTCTGCTTGGAGAGCCCTTACTCTCTCCCGGGAAGTAGAAGAGAAAACCCAAGCAAGAAGTGGAAGTCACGGGCTCGACCTTCTGAAAGTGATTGTCTCAGAGTCCACTAATCCCCCAATGGGATTTCCCGTCACCCAGCCTTACTCGCTGCGGCCCCCTCCCATGACCTCAGGGTCCAGGAAGGCAGAAGGGCCTGCTAGTTTCCTCTCTGAATAAAAAGGTCAGTGGAGGTCAGCTAGCAGTAGAGGGGTAGGCTGACCTTGAGTTCCTACCGGTTGAAGGTAACCAGTGACGGGGTTAAAAGGAACTTGACATTTCTTTCCCTTGGCTGAAATTGCATCCCATCTCTTGACTTCGCCGGGCCAGGAGCTCTAAGTCCTATGGAAGTCCCCCCGCTGACCCCCAGTCTTGCTAATGAGCTTGATCTCCTCCAACACTATGTCCCTGCTGACGGCCTTGCACATGTCGTATAGGGTGAGGGCAGCCACGGCAGCTGAGGTCAGGGCCTCCATCTCCACCCCAGTGGGGCCCCGAGCCCGGCAAGATGCCTCGATCACCACGGCCTGGCGCGCACTGTCCAGCTCCAGCCGCACCTGGACGTGGCTCAGGGCCACGTGGTGGCACAGAGGAATCAGCTGGCTGGTCAGCTTGGCCGCCTGGACGCCAGCCAGCTGGGCTACCACCAGGGCATCCCCCTTCTTGAGCCGGTTCTCCTGGACGAGCCTGAAGGCCACAGGCCCAAGGAGGACTACAGCTGAGGCCACAGCCACACGCTCTGTGTCTGGCTTCCCGCCTACATCCACCATAGCCGCCCGTCCTTCTGTGTCTACATGGGTTAGTTGGCCTGAGGCTGGCAGAGGTCCTAAGGGTGTGGCAGGAGCCTGGGGCTCTGGGCTAAGGCACTTTGGGTTGGCATCTGAGTCTGGGTGGGAACTGTAGTGTCTCTGAGGGAGGCCAGCTCCCAGCCACCACTGGGCCAGGAGAGGGGTCTGTGGGACCCCGCCTCCTTCCCACAAAGTCACCATCTGGTGGGAGCGACTCACTCTGTGTCTCAGACCCTGAACATGGAGGGAATCCCTGAAGGAGATGCTCAGAACGGCTGGTGGGGAATCCTGGAGCGTCAAAAATAACTCTGGAAGGAAGAAGAAAGGGGAAGGAAGATTCAGTCTAAGGTAGGTCTTTTTCCCACCTCCTGTCTCACCCCCACCTCGAGTTCTCCCTTTCACACCAGGAAAAGCAGAATGAAGAGCAAACAGCACAGCAAGGAAAGAGAAGATAGAAAACACACAAAGGGGGTTCCCCAGCATACAAGTTTCAGCCTTTCTCACCGGGAGTTACATGGGGCAAGGGTCCCACAGCTTCTGCCTGTCCTGCAGTGGCAGTGTGGGGGACTCGGGTGCCCCTGCTCACAACTTTCTTGTTGTCAAAGTTCTGTTAAACACCTAAGGTCTGAAGACCAAAGCCTGGAGCAGATGACCTCTCTGTCCCTTCATCTTCTTAAAACTACAGTGAGGCCTCAGCCTGTTACCAATTAGTTACTCTCAGCTTCACATTCTCTGAGAAGGGCTAGGAGTAATCATATAGTTTATAGACAAGACACTAAGGGAAATCATCTATTTAAACAATGTCTTTCAAGCCTTAAGCTCATCAGAAGTGCACAAAAAGCAACAGGCTGATTCAATGGTCCCGGGGGGAATGGTCCCTTAGGAACCTTGTAGGCTTCTTTTTACAAAGCTGTGGTCCAGGGGCCAGCAGCACTGCCACCACCTGAGGGCTGTCAGAGACGCAGAATCCCAGCCCAGACCTCCGAATCTGAATCTGAAGTAACAAGACCCCTAAGTGATCCTAACGCACGTGGAAGTCTAAGAGGCCCTGTTCCAGGTGACTGTGGGTTTTATGGAAATCAGACGAGTTTAGTTACTCTACATCCTTGAGAGCAGTATCATTCCTTATGAAGCAAACAGGTCTCCCAACTTCCAGCTTCCCATCACACTCTGGGCCACCTACCTTGTCAGTGTCAGAGGTACAACCTCCTTCTGGGGGGTTATCAAGGTATCCCCCACTCCCTGACCCACGTCGGCCTGGGGGAGGCCCACCACGGAGAACGATGATGGTGCAGGGGATAGCTTTCACCCTGCTGGAACGCTGCGGTGCGCTGCCCTTCCTTCTCTGGGTGGCTGCGTGCCCCGGTGCCTGCCTCAGGGCCCTGGGCGCACTCTGCTCCGAACGCTGGAGGAAAGAATCCCTTCCCCTAGTTGCTCTCACTGCTTTCTCTGGCCTAGGGTACAGTTCAGGGGCCCAGATATGACTTTGGTCATGGGGGCAAGGCCTCCCTGGCTCCAGCCTGGGCAAGGGCCAGGGGGCAACAGCATCCCTAAAGCTCCTGTACCAGTGAGGTCCCCAGTGCTGGGGACCACTTATGGCTCTATAAAAAGGTGTGGTTTTTTTTTGGAAGCGCCGTATGTATACGAGACATCCTGGGCACGTAAGTTCCCGGGAGGTAAGGAATGAGGCAGCTGAGGTCCTGGCTGCCTCCTCCCTGAGAAGATGAGTAGTTGCCTAAGCTCTGTCTGGCACAGAAGCATTGTAACAGGTGGACCAGTGAGTCCTAATGGTCCAGATAAACGCATGGACTGGCCCACAGGACAGAAGGGAAGGGGCGCCTGTGACTGTATCCAAACTGGGAGATTCAAGAGCTGAGGACAAGATCTCTATGTCTTAACAAGAAGCTCCATTTTTAGGGAACAACTAACATGGTGATCATTAACCTGGAGGACTCCTGGCCCAATTTTTGTGACACCTGAGTAAGAAGAGCCGTGGAAGGGAGAAAAGCAGCAGTAAAGGCTTGAAGGGTAAGAAAAGATAAATGCTGAGACAGCAGGATGAAGTGCAGGATCTGGGGGTGCCTTACAGCGGGGGCCCCACCCGCAGGATCCCCCAATGACAAGGGTGCGTGGTTACGTACTGATGGGTCACCCACCGATGAGGATCATGGGCCGGTTCTTCATCTGGGAAATGTTGAACATGCCTGGGGGTGAGGGAAGCGGGGAGGGAGGGGAAGAGCAGGAGAGGAGGGGGAGGAAGAGGGTGGGGAGAAGGTCACTGAAACGACGGACACAGTGGTATGACAGCCCGTGGACGCGCACTCATCTCCGTGCACCTGACAAAGAGCCCCAACCGGACACGGCGGGGTCACCCGTGAGTCTTTGGATGTCAGGACCCTGCCCTCCCTGGCAGAGAACAATGTGTGGGATGAGAAAGGCGATGACACCCCTCCTCCCTTCTTCCCCCAGTGAAACAGCCAGAGAACCTGGGGACCCCTCCTGTGCAGTCTCTTCCTGTAGGAAGGGAATCATCACTGTATCCCAAGTCTAGAGGTCCAACAGGAGTGGCAGGGAGCACAGACAACAGAGTCTCGCTTACCCGCCAGGCTTTCCTTCCTCCTCACCTGCGTGCTGCCGCTTCTTCCTGCCCACGGCAGCCCCGATGATGCTCAGCAGCTCTTCCTCAGAGGCTCCCGCCCGCAGGTGATCACGCAGGGATACTTCCGAGTTTCCAAAGAGGCAGACCTGGAGGTGGTCACCGTCGGGGTGAGGACAACGTGCCTCCCTCAATCCTGAGCCTCAGCCTCCAGCCTGAGAGTCCCCGCTGGGCCGGGCAGGAGGGCCCAGGCCTCCCTTGGCTGGTCAAACTCAAAGCAACTTCCTGCTGAGGGGCTGAAGGTGCTAGACAGAGGAGCCAGAGGGGCTGGAAGGGTAGGAGGCAAACTCACATCCCAAGGCCTGCATCTGACTTACGGTCAGGTTTCCTTTCAGTGTGTAGGGTGTACTTTAAAAAGTTAAATACTTGCCAACAGAGGGACAGCACACCAAAATCCAGATCCACACTCCCTCCCGAGACATTCCATGGCGCACTCTTCAATGCCGTGAGAAGGGACCCAGTCCGTGGGAGCGAGGCCTGGTCGCCCCTCACCCCGGACCCTGCCTGCTGGGCTGGCCCCTGCCCCTGCTCCGGTTTGTGGTCCCTGACTGGGGTCTGAAGAGCAGAGGCAGCACCCTGAGGTCAAAGGTGACTCAATGCTCCCAGCTTCTGTGAGAGGCTAGGAGCCCTGGAGGGCCCGGTCCCAGAAAGCAGAATACCCAGCTCCTCCCACAGAACCATAAAAAGTATCTACTGAGTGCCAGCCTGTACACAGGGACAGGAGCGTGTGTGACGAGCCCAAGGACAGAGACAAGAAGATATGTACGAAATCTAAGCGGGAGGTACCCCCACTCCCCTGTGCTGTCAGTCCCCCTTCCTCACTCCCTGCTAGCCTCACCTCCACTCAAGCGGCGCAGGTGGGGAGAGAGATTCAGAATACCGAGATGGCGAGGGGGCCCTGTGGGGAAGGGGAGTCTCACCTTGAGGTTCCCGTCGGCTGTGATTCGCAACCGGTTGCAGGTCCCACAGAAATGCTCCGACATGGATGTGATGAAGCTGACCTGGCCCTGGAAGCCAGGGATCTTAAAGGCCTGTGGGTGCGTGTGGAGGGGCCGGGGGTGGGTGGCTGAGCGCCAGCCTTCACTCCCTGACCTGGCAGCCCTCACTCCTCAGCCCTCTCGCCAGGAGCCCTGCAGAAGGCAGCCTCCAAGGATTTCAGACCACAGAGGACTCTGGCTCTGCCTGTGCCTGGCCTGCCCAAGACGAAGGCCACTAAAGATACAGGGACCCGAGGGCAGCACGGCCGGGGAAGGCCACATGGAAGAGCCAGACAAGGACCCCCACCATCTACTGGAGTGTGTTCTACCACAAGTCACTTAACCCCTGCCCCACGCCGGGCCTGCTTCTTTGTCAGTGAAGCACGGAGGCTGCTATGATGGCCCTGCAGTGTTTCCCGCATCACTGCCCTCCGCCCTCGATGTGATGTGGCCCCTGCCAGCGCTCCCATGCCAGTGCTCCCATCCCACCGTGGAGGCATGGCCTCTCTCCCGCCCCCAACCTTGGCTGTGCTGGATTCCTCCTCGGGCAGCTTCTCCAGCTCCGGCCACCGCTGCTGGAGGGTATCCAGCATCTCCTTGTAGCTGACCATCTTCTTGAAGTTCCACTTGTTGCCTGTATTGGGGGTGGGGGCTACTGAGTTGCAGTGTCACAGGGGCCCAAGGGGCTTCAAGTCCACTCTCCCACACAGCCCAGGAATCAGTTCTCCGCCTCTGGGCCTGGAGGTCCCCAGGCCCTGCCTGAAATTTGTGGATCAAATCATGCCCACACACACTCTGAGAAGCCTCTGATCCCCGCAGCCCTAGTCCTGGTGCCTGCCCAGCCCCCTCCCCACCATCCCTGGAGAAATCCCTGCACACACAGCAGGGTCTGAGGTCAGCAGCACCCACAGGGGCAGCCAGACCCTGTCTGCCCCACTCAACCCTTTCCCGGGTCCTCAGCCATCCCTGCCATGCTCTCAGCGTGGCCCTGGCCCAGCCTCTTCGCACCCCCATCCCCGCCCCACGTCACTGACCATCAAAGGGCATGTACTCTATGAAGCGCACGTCCAGAGGGAGTCCTTTGGTCAAGGCCACGAAGTCCAGGAGTTCGTCCTCGTTCAGGCCTCGCATCACCACACAGTTCACCTGGTTGGGGGACAAGAAGACCACGAGGGCTATCCCTTCTGTGATCTTTTCCAGGGAGGGCCCTTGGGGGGCCAGGCACCTGCCTAGGCTCTCTAGTCGGGGTCCCATTCCTTGTGTCCTTCCCCTAGTTCTCCTTAGAGAGACCTATGCCATGGGGTCACTGGTTTTCCCCCTTTCTCAAGGGGAGCAGGGCTGGAAGGAGCAGGCAAGAAAGGGGTGGGGGTACCCCACAGGTGCACTGGCCAGGGCTGGGGCTGGCTTGGGTCCAGGAAGTCTTTACCTTCACAGGGCTGTAGCCCAGCTCGATGGCCTTGTGGATGCCCTCCATGACCTTGTGGAAGCCTGTGGGGAGGGAGAGAAGTAAGAGTCCAGGTACTCCTTCCCTCTCCTCCACCCCCTCACCTCTACAGGGAAGCCCCAGGACTAAGGACCCTGGAGACTGCCGAGTTCAGGGACCAGACTGTAAATATGTTAGGCTTTGCAGGCCAAGAGGCAAAACTGAGGATATTATATAGCTATATATCATAAAGGTTTTATCTACTCAATTCAGAATATGATAATCAGCATAATTTTTGCAACACAGTTCTACATCTAGAATGGAAGAGTGGAATTCTTTTTGCAAGGATGGTATTTTTCCTAATTGGGGTTCATAGTTAACGGCCTGTATCATTAAACTCATGGCAAATGTTATCTGCAAAATCCATTCTTAGCTCAAGGGCTATTACAAAAAAAAAAAAACAGGCAGGGGCTGGACTTGGCTGGTGGGCTGTAGCATGTGGACCTTGATCTAGGCGGACCCTCTCATAGTCTAGGTGGGGAAACTGAGGTCCAGAGAGAGGCAGTGCCCTATACAGAGTGATGAGTATAAACAGGAAGTCACACACTTGGGTGGGAGGTGGTGGGTAAGAGGAGGTGGGGCTGAGAGCTGTAGGCTGTTTCCAGAGCAGAGGAGGGAGAACTAGGTCTCCCTGGAGTCTCTCTGATCCCCTAGAGATCTCAGTAATGTACGCCCCTCCCCAGATTGAAGGGCATCCGACCCTGTGGTGAACCTCCCACCCCAATAGGGAGTCCATGGACCTGGGGCCCAGGCCACACTACCTCTCCACTCCTGTCCTCCCTGATGAAGCCTGGTGGGAGGAGGCAGTTGGGTGTGCTTGCTGCAGGGGGTGAAGGAAGAGGCATACATCAGGCTGGGTACAGGGAGCACCTTTGGTGCCGGGGGATGCCACCAGGCAGTGCTGGCCCTGACCCTGGCACCTCAGGGCAGCTGCTTCCACCCCACACTTCCTCAGAGCTCACAACAGGGTAACCAACTGGTCCCAGTTCACTTGGGGCTGTCTTGGTTTTAAAAAGGGAACATCGTGAGTTCTTGAACTCTTTCAATCCTGGGCAAACTGGCAGCAGGGTAGGGGGACGTTAGTCACCAGAGCTCATTAGCATCCTATCCCAAAATGTCCTCAAGGGTGTGGCTACAGAGACGAGGGACATTTGGGAAGGATGAGGGGTGAGGAACAAATGCCCAGGCTTAGCTATCTATAGCCTGGCCACCAAGAGGGAGAGACCAGGACCCTCACACCAGCCTTAGCTCCCAGGCCACGTGGGCCCTGGGGGGGTCACCCTCCACCATGAAACCCGTCTGATCACCTTTCCTGCGGACGATGAACTCAAACTTGGCTGGCACCAGCGTGTCCAGGCTGATGTTGACGGCACTGAGGCCAGCCTTCTGGAGCTGAGGCAGCAGCCGGGCCAGGTTGATGCCGTTGGTGGTGATGCCAATGGTCCTCAGCCCCTCCAGCTGGCGGAGCTGGGCTGGAGAGACAACAGGGAGGGGTATCAGGCTGCTTGTTCCTGCTGAGGCCAGGAGAAGGGCTGGAAGGAGAAACTCCGCGTCTAAATAAGTTGTACGGAAAGGGGCTTGCTGCAGATCTCTATTAACCAGTATTAGCTTAATAAGAAACATAAGAATAAGAACAAAGATAACAATAACCAAAAGATGAAACACTGAATGCTCACGCTGCTAGAGGCTCTGCTGAGGGTCTGCATGAGCTCACTGAAGCCTCACAGTGACTATCCCCATTCAACAGATGAGAAGAGACAGGCTCAGAGAGAGTAAGAAAATTGCTTAAAGTCATACAATTAGTAAGGAAAACTGCTCAGATTCAAATCCATGTGTACTCAACTCTAGGACTGGGCTCTTAATAACCAACTCACAGGTCCTAATACTGTGTGTAACAGGAACAAAAAAGTGCTTGGATTATGCATTAAGCTGACGCTTCCACTTCACCCAAAATCCCTAGAAATAACTGAAGGATTAAAAAAGAATCCATAACAGCATTGGAAGGCAAGAAAGAATGCCTTTAATGGCCCAGAAAGGTGGAGAAATGCTGAAAGACAGAAAGCAGATGGGGTCAGATGGATCAAGGAGACCAGAGCCCAAAGAGCACACAGGAGAAGGTTCTGAACCAACTGGGAGGGTGACTAGCGCACACCAGGCTTAGCAGTCACCTGGACAAGGAGCACGGGGGTCCCTGGGTGTGTCAAGGAGGTTGCCTGTCTGGAGAACTATATACGGATGAGCTGGTAAGCCGTTCTCCCTCCCATCCCATGAACGGGGGAAGGCAGCAGCTTTTACGCCACCCCAAGGCTAGAGCACTTAAGCTAGCTGAAGGGGTGGGGGCAGCCCAGAGCAGCTGCAGATACTCAGGAGATACAGGGTCCCTGGGACCCAGCAGAACCTCACCTCCCTTCCCCACAAACGCAGGCACAACCAGCATAAAAAGAGCACTGACAGTTGGGCCAACCAAAACCTTGGGAGCAGAGATCAGCAAGCATTTTAAAAGAATGTTGTGAAGGAAAAGATAAATTCCACATATAGAAGAATGAAAGAAGAAGGAGAAGCAACAGATATAACAGAAGATGATTCTTTAAAAAATCAGAGGTAGATGAATGTAGATGCAAATATCCTCAACAAAATATTACTAGTAAACCAACTTCAACAACACATTTGAAGGATCATACACCAGGATCAAACGGGATCTATCCCAGGGATGCAAGGATGGCTCACATCCACAAAGTCAATGTGATACACCACATTTACAAATCAAAGAATAAAAATTGTATGATCTCAATAGATCCAGAAAAAAGCACTTGACAAAACTCAACACTCATTCACAACTAAAAACTCTCAAAGTGGGTATAAAAGGAATGTTCCTCAGCATGATAAAGGCCATATATGACAGCTAACATCTTACACAGCAGTGAAAAGCTAAAGGATTTTCCTCTAAGATAAGGAACAAAGATGGCCATTCTCACCACTGTTATTCAACATAGTATTGGAGGTCCAAGCCACAGCAAATGGAAAAGAGGAAGAAATAAAAGGCATCCAATCAGAACAGGTAAAACTGTCACTATTTGCAGATGACATGATATTATATACAGGAAACTCCAAAGACTCCACCAAAAAGCCATTAGAATTAATCAATGAATTCAATAGAATTGTAGGATACAAAATCAATATGCAAAAATGTGTTTCATTTCCATACACTGATAACAAATTACAAGAAATTAAAAAAATCCCATTTACAATTGCATCAAGAAGAATAAAATACCTAGGAATCAACTTAACCAAGGAGGTTAAAGACCTATACACTGAAACTATGACACATTGATGAAAGAAACTGAAGACAACACAAATGATATTCTCTATTCACGGATTAGAAGAATTGATATTGTTAAAATATCCATACTACCCAAAGCAACCTCCAGATTCAATGGACTCTTTATCAAAATTTCAGTGGCATTTTTCACAGAAATAGAACAAACAATACTAAAATATGTGTGGAACTAGAAAAGACCCTGTTTAGCCAAAGGCATCTTGAAAAAGAACAAAGTTGGAAGCATCATGCTCCCTAATTTCAAACTATGTTACAAAGTTATAGTAATTAAAACTGTGTGGTATTGGCATAAAAACATAGAATAGAATCGTATTACAAAATGAATGGAACATAATCGAGAGCCCAGAAATAAACCCATGCATACGTGGCCAGTTACGACAAAGGAGCCAAGAATATACAATGAGGAAAGAACAGTCTCTTCAATAAATGGTGCTGGGAAAATTGCATAACTATGTGCAGAGGTATGAAAACCAGACCACTAGCTTACACCATGCACAAAAATTAATTCAAAATGGATTAAATCTTGATCTGAAGCCAAAAAACTCCTAGGAGGAGGAAACAGGCAGTAAGTCCCTTAACATCATCTAGGCAATGATTTTTTGGATTGGACACCAAAAGCAAAGCCAATAAAGCAAATATAAACAAGTACGGCCACATCAAACTAAAATGCACAGCAAAGGAAATGAAAAGGTCGCCCACCGAATGGGAGAAGATACCTGCAAATGCCGCCTCTGGTAGGGGGTTAATATCCAAAACAAACAAACAACTCATACAACTCAACATGAAAAAAAAAACCTGATTAAAAAATGGGCAGAGGATCTGAATAGACCTTAAGACCACAAGTATCATTATGGAGAGAGATGCACTAGATAGTGATAGAAGATCCAGTTTATGAAGAAGACATAACAGTCCTAAGCATACAAACCTAGTAAAATCATCTCAACTCTGGAGAAAATAAAAAGCAACAGGACCTCTGGGAGAAACTAACAAATTCACCCACTTATTTTTTACTGGAAAGCCAAGCAGATAGAAAGCCAGCAAAGACTGAGATAAACAGAGGTCTGGACAATAAAATTAACCAGCTGGATCCAATGAACAAATACAGACTTCTTCGTGTAATAATTAACAAATAAACACTCTTCTCAGGCGCACAAAGAACACTTACAACAACGGACAATATATTAGGTCATAAAGCAATCCTCAATAAATTTGAAAGGAAGTTTTATTCAGATAAGATTCTTTGACTCATACACTTAAATTATAATTTAATAAAAATATAAATTAAAATCCTCATATTTGGAAATTAAAAACACTCTTAAATATCTCATGATCAAAGAAAAAATGAGAATAAAAATTAAATGCTTAAAACTAAATGTTATGAAAACAACAGGTTACACCAGAACATAAATGGAAATAATGAAACAATACAAATACACGATAAGAGGTTCAACAAACTCAAAAGTTGCTTTGTTGAAGACCAGCACAATAGACAAATCTCTTGCAAGACTTAGCAAAAAAAGATACAGGCACAAATAAACCACATTAAGAATGAAAAAGACAAAACTAAGTAAAACTGATGAAAATGAGAAAATATTACCAACAATTTTATACATTTAAAATTTCTAAAAAATAATAAAAACTACCAAAACTAACTCCAAAAGAAGTTGCTAACTTGAATAATGCAGTAACTATTAAAGAAATTAAAGCAGCAATTAAAAATTTCCCTGTAAATAAAATACGAGGCATAGACAATTTTACAAGTGACTCTGCCAGACTTTAAATGAAGTGATTACCATGGATTAAGACAAGCTATTGCAGGTAAAAGAATAAGAGGGAATACCATCTGCTATGATCTGAATGTTTATACCCCCGCCCCCCACCATTCATTTGTTGAATCCTAATGTCCAACGTGATGGCATGTTAGAAGGTGGAGCTTTTAGGAGGTGACTAGGTCATAAGGATAGAGAGGTTAGTGCTCTTATAAAAGAGATCCCACAGAGCTCCCCAGCTCCTTCTGCCATGTGAGGATGCAATAAGAAGTCTGCGACCCAGAAGACAGCCCTCACCTGACCGTGCTGGCACCTTGATCTTGGACTTCCAGCCTTCAAAACTGTGAGAAATCACTTGCTATTCATAAGCTGGTCCAGTCTATGGTATTTTGTTACAGTAGCCCCATCAGACTGATACATGACCTCACTCATTCTTTGGAATTTAATACCACAAATCAGTTAAGGCAGGCATGAAAATGAAAACTCACACATTCATTTCACTCACGGATATAAATGCAAAAAAATATTAACAAACTGAACCTAACAGTAGATAAAAACAGTAGACTATGGCTAGGTTGGGTGTATTCCAGGTACAATATCAGAAAAGCTATAAATGTCATTCAGAGTAACAGAATAAAGAAAAAAATCATATATCATCCTAACATACATTAGAAAATGTATAATAATAAAAAAAAAAGAACTTAGTAAACTGGGAAAGGAACTTCATTACTTGATAGAAGTTATTTGTGAAAAAAAACTTGTAAGAAACATCATTATAAATGGGGAAACATTAGGAATATTCTCCTATTATCACCACTATTCAACACTGTACTTCAGATCCTAGATATTGCACTAGGACAAGGAAATAAAAGGATAAAGGCAGGGAGAAAATTGTCTTTAGTTGCAGACGACGTGTTTGCTAGTGGAGAAAACTCCAAAGACTCTAAACAGATACATTATAGCATTGAGAGGAGAGTGATAAGAATATAATATCAACAATGTTAGAAAATGTAATTTTGAAATGACACTGTATCTGTCAGGATCCTAGCATAAAACAGAATTCATCCCAGATGATTAAAATAAAGACTTTAATGAAAGGACTACTCACAAAGGTGTGGGTAGAATTAATGGTCTCAGCAACTTATAGTACAGCACTCTGGGGATCCATGCCTAGGGCCAAAGGGACATGGGGAGGAAATTAAGAGTCCACTTAAGTCACCATAGAGGAGTGTCTATCCTGTAGGAATTTTAGCTCTGGAGGGAATTCAGCTACTGCCAAAAACCTGGTATAGAAATAGAGCAGGGAACAGCAAAAAAATAATCTGACCTCATTGGCCAAACCCATCAGAAACCCAAAAGACAAGGGACCCTGGGTGATATAGTCTAGCCGCTAGCTACCCAGAGCAAAGAACAAGGCAAAGGAGGG